AAGAGGAGAGAAAATCCACAGCTTCCATATGAAACTGAAGCTTCATATCCCTGAAGAATCCCTTCCCCCACATAAATCTAGAAGTAGAGGGATGGGAGGGCCAGTCTTGCCTTCTCAGCAAGCCCTAGAGGGAGCATCTGGCCCTATTTGTTGGGGCCTGTCTTCAAGATTTGGGGTGTTCTGCAATACTTCACCCTGGCTCTGCACCCCAGTTGTCAGTTTTGGGGCAAATGGAAAAGCTCCTGCTGCTATCCTGTTCCACATAAAACCCCAGCCTCATGTTACAGTCCTGGCAACTGCGACAAAGGGCAGGGCAGAGAATGTTCTGATCTCATCTGGGGGCGCTCTGAGGAAGTGACTTTTGGAGGTCAGACCAGGTCAAAAGAATGGCATGTCCCAAGATCCTGAAGCAGGAAGGAGGGTGGCACATGGGGAGATGGGAAGACCAGTGAGTGTGGGGTGGTGAGACCGAGGACAAAGCGGTGAGAGTTGAGGCTGGCAGTGGCGACAGTGGCAACAGCAACATTGATAGATCATTTCTGTTTATGCATTTCTTATTTAATAATCCAAAAGAGGAAGTAGCTCTGATTATCTCTCTGTCATAGATGGAGGTTTGAATCTTGCTCAGAGAAGTGAGGCAATTCACCTGACAGCACGCAGCAGGTGTGTGGGGAAGCTGGAGCTGGCCTCTGGGCCTATTCCACTCTCCTGTGCTCCGAGATCCTAGCAGACCCGAGGAGGGGGCAGTCTGTCCCGCCCCTAACCACCCACCCCTTCTTCTTTTCTACTGCCTACTCCTAGGAGCCTGCATGAGGGGCTGGGGTGGCCATGAACAGGTCAGCCTCTGAGACAAAGGAGGCCTGATTGGCAAGAGAAGTAAGGCCTTTGCTGTCAGCAGGCCTGGGTGTTAGTCCCCACACTGCCGCCCACTGGGCTGTGTGACCCTCAGTCAGGTTCTTCCTTTTTCTCTGATTGTGAGTTTCTTCATTTGTCAAATACCCACCCTCCTTGAGTGTTATTTTATTTCCATTTTACAGATGGCCCAGAGAAGGGAAGCAAGACAGTAGCACCCAGGAACCCAGCACCAAGCCCAGGGCTGTTTTCCCTATACCTGGCCATCATCTTTCCAGGGGTCTGGGCAATGCCAGTCCAAGGGGCCTACTTGTAGGCAAGGCGGATGGTTTTTGTAGAGGCCCAGATTTCTGAAGACAGGTGGCTGAGGGGCTCTCGTGATAGGAGAATGGGAATGGCCAAGCCAAAGGAGAGAAAGAGTGACCAAGGACTGGTGTTCAGATTGGGTGGCCCGGGGCTCTCATGGTAGGCTGGCTGGAGAGTTGCAGCCTGAGCCCCTCGCTGTCCCTGCACCTATCTCTGGGCCTGCCTGAGAGCTCATTGTGCTGCAGCCGCATCTGATCTGGGTGGACTGGTCCCTGCAGATACCAGCGTCCATCAGGGCCACAGCACTTCCCAGTGCCATATACCTAGATCTCTGTTTCCCACGTGTGTGTGCATGTGTGCGCATGCACATGTGTGTGTGCCTGTGTGCGTGTGTGTGTGTTTTGGGTCGGGGAGGGGATGAGTTAGGAGGTCTGGAGCACAGCACTGCAGCAGGGGTGGGGGCTCTGTTGACGTGTGTCTTTACCCTCATTGGGCTTCTCCCGCCTCACTCCCACTCTGGGCACAGCGCACACTCCAGGCCTGAGCAGATGGGGGCCCTGACCAGGGATGCCTGAACCCTGATAGTCCTCAATCCACTCTCAGATGCAGATTCACATATCTGAGCTCCAGCCTGAGCTGAACCCTGACTCTAGTTCTAAGTTGAGACCCAAAGTTGACCCAAGAGTGAGCTTGACCCCAGCTCCATGCTTAGTCATGAACATAGTCCCAGACTGAGCCCTAATCCTGGTTCCAGGGTGGATCTCAATCTGGTTCCAGGCTGAGCCCTGAACTTGCTCTAAAACTGAGCCCTCATCTTTTAGACAATTATTTGAACTCTGTTCCAGGCTGGACCCTTACTATACACTAAACTCTAATCCTGGCCCCTAACTAAACCTTGACTCTGATCAGAAATTCTGTAATGATTCACTTCTATTTACTTTTTTTTTTTTTTGAGACGGAGTCTCGCTATGTCGCCCAGGCTAGAGTGCAGTGGCCCAGTCTCGGCTCACTGCAAGCTCCACCTCCTGGGTTCACGACATTCTCCTGCCTCAGCCTCCCAAGTAGCTGGGACTACAGGCGCCTGCCACCACGCCTGGCTAATTTTTTGTATTTTTAGTAGAGACGGGGTTTCACTGTGTTAGCCAGGATGGTCTCGATCTCCTGACCTCGTGATCTGCTAGCCTCGGCCTCCCAAAGTGCTGAGATTACAGGCGTGAGCCACCGCGCCCAGCCTTTTTTTTTTTTTTTTTTTGACAGAGTCTCACTTTGTCGCCCAGGCTGGAGTGCAGTGGTGTGATCTTGACTTGCTGCAGCTCCAGCCTCCAGGGCTCAAGCCATCCTCCTGCCTCATCCTTCCAAGTAGCTGGGACCACAGGCATGCACCACCATGCCCTGCTTTTATTTTTTATTTTGTAGAGACAGGGTCTTACCATGTTGCTCGGGCTGGTCTTGAACTCCTGGCCTCAAGTGATCTTTCTGCCTCAGCCTCCCATAGTGTTGGTATTACGGGTGTGAGCCACTGCATCCGGCCATGAGTCACTTTTAATTTCAGTCCTGACCTCCCTCCCTAGCTGATCTGTGCCTGTGACCACAGTCTAATCCCTAATTTCCGAACAACCAACCAACCGTTAACCTCAAACCTAGCTCAAATAGGAGCCCAAGATCCCTTCCCATGGCAGGACTTGTGCTGGAACCAGAAGGAAAGTTAGTGTTTCACCGAGCAGAGCCGTGCAAACTGTGCACAGAGGCATGGAGTGGGAATGTGGAGAATGGAAATGGCCAACGCAGAGAAGAGAAAGAGTGACCAAGAACTGTTATCCACAGTGGGAGTGGGTGTGGTGGGAGGACTCTGGATGCAGTCACAGCTGGGGTTCAAATCTAGGCTCCGCCGTGTGTCAGTAACCTTAGTTTGGATGGGTCAAGTGGCCTCACAGAGGTTCTGTGTTTCCATCGTAAAGTGGGTCTGCCCTGCTTTTCTCTTGGGTCATGGAGCTCCTTGAGAGTGTCATTTCCATCTTGCCTTTAGGTCCTGTGTGCTCTCACCGCTGCCTGGACCCCTCCTCTTTCCATGCCCACTTCTGCATCTGCAAGATGAAGTGTTCCTTCCTCTAAGAAGTCTTCCTGGGCTGGGTGTGGTGGCTCACGCCTGTAATCCCAACACTTTGGGAGGCCAAGGCAGGGGGATCACCTGAGGTCGGGAGTTCGAGACCAGCCTGACCAATATGGCAAAACCCCTTCTCTACTAAAAATATCAAAATCAGCCAGACGTGGTGGCACATACCTGTAGTTTCAGCTACTCAGGAGGCTGAGGCAGGAGAATTGCTTGAACCTGGCAGGTGGAGATTGCAGTGGGCCGAGATCATACCACTGTACTCCAGACTGGGCAACACAGCAAGACTCCATCTCAAAAAGAAATAAATATATCAAGGGCTGGGAGTGAGCAACACTAAGGAGTATGCTTGTCAAGTGTGATGGTTGATTTTATGTATCAACTTGACTGGGGTAAGGGATGCCCAGATAGCTGGTAAACCCACTATCATTATGGGTGTGTCTGTGAGGGCGTTTCTAGAAGAGATTCAAATTTGAATCCACAGACTAAGTAAAGAAGATCCACTCACACCAATGTGGGTGGGCACCATCCAGTCTCTCATAGAATGAAAGAATGGAGGAATAATATATAGAATAAAATGCTGGAGGAAGGGTAAATTCTCCCTCTCTCTCTGCTTAAGCTGGGGCATCCAACTTCTCCTGCCCTCCAGCATTGAAGCTCTTGGTTTTTGAGTCTTCAGATTTGGGCTGAATTACACCAAGGCTTTCCTGGCTGTCCAGTTGGCAAATGGCAGATCATGGAACTTCTTGGCCTCCATAATTGTGTGGGCCAACTCCCCATAATAAATACCCTCTTACAGGCCAGGAGCGGTGGCTCACACCTGTAATCCCAGCACTTTGGGAGGCCGAGGCGAGCGGATCACGAGGTCAAGAGATCGAGACCATCCTGGCCAACGTGGTGAAACCCTGTCTCTATTAAAAACACAAAAAAATTAGCTGGGCGTGGCACGAGCCTGTAGTCCCAGCTACTTGGGAGGCTGAGGCAGGAGAATCACTTGAACCCAGGAGGTGGAGGTTGCAGTGAGCCAAGATTGCACCACTGCACTCCAGCCTGATGAAAGAAGGAGACTAGATTCCTAATTAAATAAATACCCTGTTATATGTATATCTCTCTATATCCTATTTGTTCTGTTTCTCCAGAGATCCTGACTAATACACCAAGGCCCAGGGCTGCATGCCGAGGACTCAGGAAGTCTCTTGAAGAATCCTCTGCACACAAGAGCGCTGCTATCCGCCAAAGCTGATGTCAGCTATTCCCTGCAGCCTGGCCTGGTCCAGCGGAGACAGCTCTGCTAAACTACCAAAGGCAGGAAGAAAATGAGCCACCAGGGGCCTCCACACTTGTCTCTCATAAAAGATATATGCTCCACAAGGGCAGGGTTGAGTCTGTCTTGTTCCCTGCTCAATAATTGTGTGCTATGGATAAATAAATGAATGGATCAAGAGATAAGGATGGAATAGCAATTTACAAACCCTAAGCATTGTGCAAGGCAGGGCATAATTGGGTAGGAATGCTTCTTCTAGAAGTTATTCCTTAGGAAAGGCCAAACAAAAAGTCTATTAATAGACCCGATTAATAAACATCAGCCAAGGTAAATGTTAACAGGAAGTATTTCTGCAAACGTTGGCAGTCTCTTAGGCTGGGCTCAGAGTAGGCTGGCGTGCTGACTGGCATGCTGGCGAAGAAGGCTTCCTCCTTCCTGTTTGCTCAGAACATGTTCTCAGGCCTAGGGAAGCCTCCTTCTTGAATTCCAGAATGGGTGCCACAGTCCAGGCTTGCTGCATCCTGGAAGCTCACTCTACTTCAGTATGCAGTGAGACCCAGGTACGCAGGGACGCAGTGTGCGGTCAGACCCAGGTGCGCAGGGACGCAGTGTGCGGTCAGACCCAGGTGCGCAGGGACGCAGTGTGCGGTCAGACCCAGGTGTGCAGGGATGCAGTGTGCGGTCAGACCCAGGTGTGCAGGGATGCAGTGTGCGGTCATATGAATCCAGATACCCAGGGCTGCAGTGTGCGGTCAGACCCATGTGCGGTCAGACCCAGGTGCGCAGGGAGGCAGTGTGCGGTCAGACCCAGGTGCGCAGGGAGGCAGTGTGCGGTCATATCCAGGTATGCAGGGATGCAGTGTGCGTCAGACCCAGATACCCAGGGATGCGTGCGGTCAGACCCAGGTGTGCAGGGATACAGTGTGCGGTCAGCGCAGGGACGCAGTGTGCGGTCAGACCCAGGTGCGCAGGGACGCAGTGTGCGGTCAGACCCAGGTGCGCAGGGACGCAGTGTGCGGTCAGACCCAGGTGTGCAGGGACGCAGTGTGCGGTCAGACCCAGGTGTGCAGGGACGCAGTGTGCGGTCAGACCCAGATACCCAGGGATGCAGTGTGTGGTCAGACCCAGGTGTGCAGGGATGCAGTGTGTGGTCAGACGCAGGTGTGCAGGGATGCAGTGTGCGGTCAAATCCAGGTATGCAGGGATGCAGTGTGCGGTCAGACCCAGGTGTGCAGGGATGCAGTGTGAGGTCAGACCCAGGTGTGCAGGGATGCGGTGTGCGGTCAGACCCAGGTGTGCAGGGATGCAGTGTGCGGTCATATCCAGGTATGCAGGGATGCAGTGTGCGGTCAGACCCAGATACCCAGGGATGCAGTGTGCGGTCAGACCCAGATACCCAGGGATGCAGTGTGCGGTCAGACCCAGATACCCAGGGATGCAGTGTGCGGTCAGACCCAGGTGTGCAGGGGTGCAGTGTGCGGTCAGACCCAGGTATGCAGGGATGCAGTGTGCGGTCAGACCCAGGTGTGCAGGGGTGCAGTGTGTGGTTCGACCCAGTTAGGTGGTCCTTAAACATGCCATGCTGGTTTGCCTCTGGGGACTTCACCTGTGCTCTTCCATTGTTCCTCTTTTCCTCACTTCCTTCAGGTTTCTGTACAAATGTCACCTCCTCAGAGAGGCCTCATCTGACCCCACTCAAAATTAGCAGCCACAAAGAGGTATAATATACTGAGAAAAATTTACATGGTGAAACCCCATCTCCTACCTAAAATTAAAAAATTTAGCTGGCATGGGTGCTGTAATCTCAACATCAGGAGGCGGCTGAGACAGGAGACATTTGCTGAACCCGCGAGGCGCAGAGTTACGAGTGACTGAGATTCTGCCACTGCCCTCCAGCGCCTGGTGATCAGCAGCAAGACTCCGTCTCCAAAACAAAAACAAACAGAATATATATTCTTTTATGTATTACTATCAATTTATGCTCCGTCTACTGAAATACAGTATCTAGAAAGATCC